ATTAGAAGAGGAAAGTACGACTACAAGAGAGGAGAAGTTGGAGAGGGAAAGGTTAGATTCAGAACTGAGAAGAGTAATTTTAAGAGAGGAAGAGTCTTGGAGACAAAAGTCAAGATTGACATGGCTGAAAGTGGGAGATAGAAACACAGCTTTTTTTCATTCCTATGGTAATGCAAGAAGAAGGAACCTCATTTCAAGGATTCAGGTGGGGGATGAATTGATAGAATCTTGAGTAGGAATTCAAGAGAAGGTGGTGGGCTTCTATAAGAATCTTTACTCTTCAAGAAGATGGAACTGGATTGGTATTGGAGAGTTAGTTCCAAAGAAGCTGAAAGATACATCAATAAGCTGGCTAGAGAGGGAGTTTGGGTTAGAAGAAACTAAGGAGGCACTGAAAGGGTTAAATGGAAATAAGGCACTGGGTCTAGATGGGTTCAATTTCTCCTTCATAAAGGCATGCTGGAATATGATAGAGAGAGAGAGAGAGAGTTTGAGAGCTTATGTTTAAGGAGTGCCTTCATAAAGGCACTAAAAGTGTTATTATTCAAACGCAATTTTGGCAAAACCTTCCCCACCCCAGAAGACTAACCAAGTAATTTCCCAATCTGAACCTCCCTCTCTACCAACTTTTCTATATTAACCTCCCCATCACGTATTACCTCTGAATCAGTTCGAACAATTTGAGGGGAGTGCACAGTTACCTCCTCTCCTTCCCCCTTCCTTGTTTTGTTAACTTCATTCCTTTCCTTTCCTTTCCCCTCTTCCTGACTGAACTCTGTAGTAGACACGGCTGTCTCCTTTTCCTATTATAAACCTTGTTTTGAGATTCTCCTCCTTCCTCCCTTTGACTCATCAGGAATAGAAGGAGACTCAAGTGGAGACTCAACAGGGACAGGAAGGGGGAGTGCAAACAACTATGACAAATGCTCCCCCTGTGAACAATGCTCCCCTCGAGATGAACCATAGAAAGGAGTGGACTCAACAAAAGTAATATCTATTGAAACATAACGAGTCCCAGTGCTAGGATCAAAACAGCAATAACCCTTCTGTGTGGAGGCATAACTAAAGAAGATGCACTTATGGGCCTTTGGTTCAAATTTATGTCTTTGGGTACTAGAAATGTGTGCATAACAAGTGCAACCAAAGACACTAAGGGGAATAGAAAAACAGTCCTTATCTAGATAAAGGAGGTTAAAAGGGGACTTAAAGCTCAATATTCTGTATGGCATACGATTGATTAGGTAAGTTGCAATGAAAACAAAATCCCCCTAGGATCTTGTAGGAGCATGTGAGGCAAACAAAATGCTTCTTGCAACTTCAACTATGTGACAGTTCTTCCTCTCAGATACTCCATTTTGTTCCAAAGTGCGAACATAAGAACTCTGGTGAATGACCCCAAAATCAGTGAGATAAGAGGTTAGGTTTGTCTCAAAGTATTCTTTTGCATTATCGGATCTGAATATTTTGGTTCCTGTATCAAATTGGGTAAGAACGGATTCATGGAACTACCTCACAAGCTTAGGAACTTCATCTCAAGATCTCATAAAAAATAACCAAGTATACCAAGAGAAATCGTCAATGAACAAGATAAAGTATCTATAACCTCCCATAAAGGGTAAGTGGTAATGGCCCCCACACATCAGAGTGCACAATATGAAAAGGAAAGGAGGATCTTCTATTACTCAAAGGATAACTGTTTCTACAATGCTTTGATAACTCACAGGACTCAATGAAGGCTAGACAAGTTAATTCCCTTAAACAATTATGGGAATAAATGACTTGAAGTAGAAAAAGATAAATGACCCAAACAAAAATGACATAACATAACACGACTAAAAGACTCTGAAGAAGTAGATCCAAAAGCAGCTCTTCCAGGTTATCCTTGGCTTTGTTCAGGAGTATCCAACAGATATATTCCATTCACCTCACGGCCAATCCCAATCACTTTCTGAGACTTCAGGTCCTGAAAAACACAATAAGAAGGGAAGAAGGTTACACTACAATTTAAGGATTTAGTTAGGCTACTCACAAACATCAAATTAATATTTAGTCTAGGGACATGAAGGATAGAAAAAAGAGAGAGAGTATGTAGCCTTGATGACTCCCTTACTAGAGATAGGAGCAAGTGAGCCATCGGCTAGGGTAATCTTATCATGGCCAAGAAACAAATCATAAGAGCTAAACATAGTGGAAAGGCTTGTCATACGATCAGAAGCACTAGAGTCAATAATCCAAGGGATCCTACGATTACCTGAGATAGTTGCATGATTGGTGGCAATAGCACGTATACCTAAATGTGCAAATGTAGAAGTAATTGGATTGCCCGAAGAGTTGGAGGAGGCTACACTCTCAAGGTGGCTGATAATCCTCCCATACTTTTGCCTTCATAACAGCTAACTGTTCACTACAGTCATCTCATCTGTGAAACACCTGTCATTATCTAAGACTGTGGCTGTATTGGCACTTCCTAACTTCCTATTATCAACCTTCTTTTGAAAACAAGGTGGAAGAAGTTCTGGGTGCAGTTTCCAACATTTATCTTTTGTATGTTTGGGTTTCTTGCAGTACTCACATATAACCTCCTTCTTCCCTGAACCGCCTAAACTACTTGGAATCATCTTAGGTTTCAGCTCCATATTAGCAAAATGGTCACTTGGGATAGTCCCTTGAACCTATACCAAGATTCATTATCCTTAGCTAGGATATTTCGTCTGGTAATATCAAACTCTGGATTCAGCCCTATCAAGAATTCAAAAACCCTATTCCTCTCAACTAATATTTTGTATGTCTCAGACTCTCAGCATCATTTGTGCTTTCCCAAACAACTGTTTCCATTAGATCTATCTCTTGCCACAAGGATTTCAGCATTGAGAAGTATACTGCTAGAGGTCTCTCCCCCTACCTTAGATTATTCACATCACTCCTTAACTTATATGCCTTGGCCACATTCAATTTTTGGGAATAGGTTTCAGCAACACTATCCCATATTTCCTTAGCTGAATTCATCCATAAATAGTGTTGACTAATTTGTAATTGCATCAAATTCACTAACCATCCAATAATAGTGTAATTCTCTTGCAACCATTCCTCATAAGATGGATCATCTTTCGGTGGTGCTTTCTTGCTCCCGGAGATATACCCCCACTTGCCTCTGATACAAATATGTATCTTTACTGATTGTGACCATGCTAGATAGTCCCATTGAGCTTGACTGTGGTCACAACTAATAAAGAGTCTACGGGTGCTCCTGAAACCTGTCCGGACTTTGCGCCAAACTTATTCTCAATTCCAGAGACATCCATCTTCCTCAAACAACTCCAAAAGAACTTCAAACAACTTCAAATGATAAACAAGGAAGACATGAAAAGGCAGACACCAAGTACCAACCTCTATGAAGTCTTATTTTCCAGTTGCGTCTCACTTGGAACTTGAGATAAATAAGAAAATTGCAGCCACTCCTTGTAGGCTTCATAGAACTACACAAGACTTGGATCGATCTTCAAGATAAAGAAAGAGAACCCCTTCAGTCACTGAGCACCAAGGTGAAGCTCCTTGTGGGGCTCGCAATCAGAATTCTCCAATTGACTAGGGCTTTGGGCAAAAACTCCAAGGACTGAAAAATAATGAACAAGACAGCTTCCTTTTCTCCAAAAGACCACTACCAACTGGGCTGAATACTTTCTTCAATCACTCATTCGATTCAGCTCTCCACACACACTATGTATGGGAAAAAAAAAGGGAAAAAAAGAAGAAGGAGTCTGCTCTGATACCAAAAAGAAAAACAGTCCAAAAGAATGAGAGGACTGATTTAAAAGGTGTGAAAACAAGGTAGATATCAGCAGCAAAGAAAGAAGAAAAAGAAGAGAGAAGAAGAAGAGTTTGGCTGTAATAGGGTTTATGAGAAGAGTTGTTCGAACCTCTCTCCCTTACCTAATCTTTTCATTAAAAATATAATTACAAGCAAGCCCTTAATTGGGCAATTAACTAACTAAACGAGAACATAAAGAAACAAAGAAACATAAAGGCCCATTAACAAAAAGAATAGAAACATAAAGAAATAAGAACAGCCTATGGGCCATTCGGCCTATACTCTCTACAAGTTGTAATCAGGGGTATTCTTGTAATATCCCTTTATTTTTTAACACCTTAATATATAAGTCAAGGAGGGCACTGTCCCTAACACTTTTTGGTTAAAATTAAGAATATATAACACTTTTTGGTTAAACATAAAGAAATAAGAACAGCCTATAGGCCATTCGGCCTATACTCTCTACAAGTTGTAATCAGGGGTATTCTTGTAATATCCCTTTATTTTTTAACACCTTAATATATAAGTCAAGGAGGGCACTGATCAAAGTTAAAATTGTGGAAGTCTTAGGAATAAGTTTTCAAGAAATTTATTGTTTCAAAATTAACATATATGATAACTTTTGGACTATTTATAGTAATTCTCATAATTACTATTTTTAGTAATTTTTGGTGTCTATAAAGTAAGTTAGTTTTAGTAGGATTAAGAAAGTATTATTAGAGTTGCTTTAGTAATTAGAGTCCTTGTTGGAGTATCTTATGGGTCACCTATGGATTTGTCTTAGTTATAAAAAAATTCATAAAAAAAAAAAGCCCATAATCAAACCAATCTCTAACCATCAAACAAAGGTTGGTTTGTCAACTCCAACTGTTGTATTAATCCACAGAAAAGACCTTAATCAAATCTAATTACAGATGTTTAACTAATACATATGTTAAATTCACAACCCCCAACTCCAGCTGATTTTTATGACCATGGATCTCCAACAGCTCAGTTATAGTTCATTCCAGTCAAAACAACTGCTATAGTTGATATTTCATTGCTTCTCTTGGCCCTTTACAAACTTAATGCAGGACTCCATGCTCTCTACTTCTTCATTGTTTTTGGTATAGGATTCTATTTGTTCTTTTGAAAGGGTAGAAATTTAGAACAAGAAGTGTTAATGTGACGTAAGAAAAAGCATCACCTTTACCTTTTAATTGTGTCTGTTGCACTAATGAACTTGTTGTAATTTTCATATACTAGCATTTGCAAGTCAGTATCAAGATTCTTGATTTCAGCTGCCATTTCGACATGCCTTTTAAGAAGCCCCTCCAAGTTTGACTTTTGAACCTAAAAATTTCCAACAAAAAAATGTAGTATCAATGAAAGGGTAAAAAAGTATGAAAAAAATATAAAAAAAAAAAACAAACCAATGAATAATTACCATGTTCAGTCTACATATGTGCATATAAAAAAAAGTAATGTAAATGATTCAATCATCATATAGACCAAAGAAGTAAATAAATAAATAAATAGAAGCAAGAGAAAAGACAGTTAGGGTTTCCTTTTCAATGAACATATTTAAATGCACATAATGTTTGGTCAACATTTCATCTTACAAGGTAGTCCTATTTCAGGATTCAATTCCAATAGATGGTTGCTAAATAATGGGGAAAAACTTTACAACCCAAACCCCAAAACTTAGATTCATACCAAAAGAACAAATACATGAAATGGAGCCTCAAAAGGGTTTAAACAATAACAATTTAAGTTATCACCTAAACCATTGTTTTGAAGGCACTCAACTGGATTCCACTTGAAAGATCCTTTTGGTTGAGTATACTCAATGACTTGTAGTTAACTCATGAGTGAAGAATTAAATAAGTGTACATAAAGCCACAAGTTAAAACAATAGAAGTGTGGACATAACATGGATAAAATGAAGAAAACATATCAAGCTGAGCTGACTTGGTTGAGTTTCCTGAGTAAGAATCCATGGCCTTATCAAATTATTAAACAAGTTATTTGGATCCCAAGCCACCCAAAATTCATTAAGATTGAGTCAATACATATGACGCTAAAGGTAATTCAATGAGTGTATGACAATGGTTAAGCCTCAAGGTGAAATAAGTTAAGCTTCAAGATGCATGAGGAGCATAGAAAAAATTGTGAAATAAGTCAAGCATCAAGATGTCAAACACATCTTATTTGCATATAGCACTTGGAAACATGAAATTTTAAGTCTGCCTCTTGAGGTTCAGCTCAAGATATAAGATTCTATGCATTTTGGACAATGGGTTAGAATACAAGAATAGCTACTTGTTTCCAAGGAGGAATCATCACATTTTCATCCCTTACAAACTTGATTAGTGTTGGAGAACTCCTTTATATCTCATTGCTGGTGAAGAATATACAAGAAAAGTTTTATTTGAATAATTTAAAAGATAGGTAATATTTAATTTCCATGAGAAGTCCCTCCCCCAAGAAAGTGAAAGAAAAAGAGCATACGGCAGCAACAACATCAATGGAAAATTAAACAAATATTTGGAATAAAATGTAAAAAAATAATACTTAGTTCAGTTAAAGGAATTCCAGCATTAGAACAATGATTTATGGAAAATATGAAAGGGTATTTGTGGGTTCTCCATTGAGGTCTGACGAACTTGGCTGGGTTCTTAGAACCCTTATTTCTCTGTTACCAATCAGAGAGAGAGGGAGAGAGAGAGAGAGAGAGAGAGAGAGAGAGAGAGAATACTGAGATGTTTGGCATCTTGGCCAAGTCACTGCATATAATTAAGTTAAAAGACATGTACGAGGCATGAGCAACTGCTCCGATGACTAGATTGTGACAAAGCCAAATAACTTTGATAATGTTTTTGAAAGGTGAAAATTCTAGGGAGTCGAAGGCTTGGTCTTTGCTAGACTAGAATCTCCGGATCAATGGCTTTCGGTGAGATAGTTATATGAAGTAAAGAATTTCCGTATAGCCCTTTCCCGTAGCTTTCCAACAACGATGCCTAACAATTTAGTGAAAGCAGCCCAAAGAAGCTATGTGCATAAATAGCTCTATTGCAATTAGCTCAAAAGGTTACTACATCTCATGGAAAATCACCACATATTTCAATAGTCCATCAGCTACTAAAAACCTCATTCACCTCATTTTCGTTAAGGAAACAGAAATTTCGAATTATTTTGCAATAAGTTGATTCTACGATCCTTTACAAGCTTAGAGCTGCAATCAACTACAACTAGAATTTCAACTATTAACGGAAATTTAAGAAAAAAAATCCACGTTTCTACATTAGTTTCAAAATAAACGGAGATAAATCCGTACTTCCACCAAGAAGGTCATACTTGTTGGAATTCAAGATTAGATCCAAATGAGAGATCAAATAGATAAACATCAACAAGGAAATATCGAAGGCTTGCGCGTACCAGAAGATTCATGTATTGATCGGGATCGAAGGCAGTGGTATTAATAGCCTCTAATGAGCCCTGTTTCGCAGAAGCGGCGTTGGCAGCCATTAAAGGATCTGGAGAGTAGAAACTCGAAAGCAGATCTCGCATTCTCTTTGCTTTATCGTCCAAAGGAATATCGCTCGCCATTGTGATCTCCTTTGGTCGTGCTAAACCTTCTGCTTCTATAATTCTTTTGCTTTAAACCAGAAATGCCAGAGTCAGACTGAATTACGCTCTACGCAGCGAACTGATCGTCTGGGAGGGCAGGTAAATCAATTGCAAATTACGGGGGGTGTTTTAGTAAAATACAAACTATATGATAGGTTTTAATAAATTCATGAAGCTATAAAAGGGTGTTTTATTAAATGATCCTTTATTTTATTTCATGTTTTCTAAGCAATGCTAATAAGCATATGAAAATGTTCCTTTGTAAGACTTACAAATGCCTTGTAAAACAGACATGAAGGTAGTGTCGATTCAAGTGGTCCCACAATTGTCACTAAAGATGACCTACAGAAATATTACAAACGTGTGGTGTAGTTTCTGCAAAATCATCTTTTCACTTGAACCTAAATGTGGATGGCAATTTTTATCCTATCGGTGGGTACATCCCCTACTCCCTTTTTTTATTTTTTTCACTTGAAAGATAAATTTTGGGACAAGAATATGTTTTGGGATTCTAAAACTTGTATGGGTATAAGTAGATTATGGTATTAGGCAAACCCAACCCGCATATCATTAGAAAGCAAATGAACTATATGTATTAGGTGTTGAATTTAATGATATTTTGAATTTTATGTAAAGGATAATTGATAGTTTATATGTTTTTTATATGTCTTAATCAAATAATAAGAAATTTTGTTGTTTGTTCATGTTATTTTACTTATTTCTTTGCTTATAAATAACAATAAATAATAGGAAATTAGATATGGGTTCTGCTTATAAATAACAATAAATAATAGGAAATTAGATATGGGTTCTACTTATAAATAACAATAAATAATAGGAAATTAGATATGGGTTATAAACCCAACCCACCCTACCCTTGAATGTGGGGAAGGTTTTGCAATTTCATTTGTGGGGAGGGTTTGGATTCTCAAAATCCAATTCACAACAGACTTTGGGGTAAGTAAGGTTGGGAGGTGGATAGGGTCTAAAATATACAAACCCTCCCCAAACCCGCTCCATTGCCATCCCAGGAACAACTCTCAACAATGCTGCCGACCAAGATGGGAAGAGAATGGGCCATACAAGGGGTAGGCCTCCTCCAAACTTTGATGAAGACCCACCCATATCTCTACTATAAACAACTAGAGCTTTTGGGCATGTTTGGGAGGGCTTATGCTTCTTAACTTTGGTTCAGCTATATAGATGAAGATATTGGAACTAAGAGGCCATTTGGGAGGGCTTCAACTTTGATCATGTTGCTTTTATTGAACCACGTTGAATAAGTTATTGAAACTCATATCAATGAATAGTCGATTTCATAATTCAACAAAAGCACATTGAGGCTTTCCCAATTTTTTATCAAAATCTATCACTTGTTGATCCCAAGTGGTAAGGGAAATTTGGCAAAACATAATAGGATAAATTTGCCCATTCTAATAATGATTTTTTATGGGTAAAAAGGTTAATGTATAACTTATTTAGGAATCAAAAGAACATTAGTGAATACATTTATTCAAATAAATGGCATCTTGAAAAAATGAATAGGGCTTGAGGCTTTCTATATGGGACCCACCTTGCAAATCTAGAAGCCGCTATGTGAAAGCTCTCCCAAACCAGCACCACAAGAGGTTGAGGGTCGTGAAAATTTGGCTTTCTGAATTTTTACCAGACATTTACTTAGGTGGCATTTGATAAATTTGAAATCTAAAATCTAAAAAGTTAAAAAGATATTCAAAGTGTTTGAAATCTGAAAAGAGGCATTGATGCTTTTCTACTTTTTAGAGGCTCTGAATACTTGAGCTTATTTGTGTTGGACCAAACCTTTAACATCTGAAATGTATTGATTTTACTATTTTACCCATAAAATAGACTATTTAGTAAATTTGAGCTCAATTTGTACTATTTCATATAAAATAATTTATCAAATTCAAAATAATATTGAAATCATACAAAAAATTAATAAAAAAATAATAATTACAAAAAATAAATAATAAATAACATAATTAAATTAATAAAAATAATTAATCACTACTAAAAAATAACAAAAATGATTAAAATTTAATAAAAATTAAAATAATCAATAAAAATTAGTGGTTACTAATTAATAATTAATAAAGCTATTCATATTCTCTATTTCACAGTTCTACTTGAACAAACTAGTAAATTAACAATTGAAATTAACGAATACAAATCTGATTTTCAGTGTGTCAGGTCCATTATTCTTCTCCCATTCTCCTTAAAATAATTCTATCAGAATTAATGAAAATTGGTATAATTGTATACACAATCAAGCAGTAATTTTGAATCTAATTCGAGAACAAGAAAAACCAAAAGTGCAAAGAGAATCGAATATTCTAATGCATGAAACCGCTATAAACGAGTACAGTAATAAAGCACCTTCTCCGTACTTCAAGTTTGGGAATTTCTGTCGTCGACCTTGGATTTGAGAGACTCGTATCTTCAGCTGGGTCAACTAGAGAAGCATTCAAAGAAGAAAATAATTGATACCCATTTGATTCAGGTGGAGAAAATTTATAAATTATGGGAGAAATCATGGTCTAAGGAAACTGGGTTCTTCTAAATGTGATCGAAGAGGCCACATTCTTTCTTCCTCATGAACTCAAAATAGGAAAATCGAATCTTGGCAAGGTAAAGGAGGGATAACTGGTACTTGTCATCTCCCTAGCAGCACTCGCAGAAAGAGAGACAGAAGCACCAGAGAGTAGGAAAAACGATGAGGGGAACTCAAATCAATGGTTCGAAGGTTGGTTGTTCGTTGTTCGTCTTCTTTGGCGGAGAAGAACACAAATGTTTAGGGTTTGGTTTAAAACGAGGCATTCCACGTCTTTTCCAAAAAAATGCTGAGGTATTTACGTCTTTTGGCCACCTCTTAAACGTGTATGAGCGCATTAAGAGTCGGGCCAATGTCTATGGCTTTCAGATCTTAAAAAGCATTTCAGATCGCTCATTCAGATGCAATACAAGTGACACTAGCCATCTGGAAAATAGATAATTCGAAGTTCAGACATCTAAAAAGAGTTATCAAACGGGGCCTTAATAAACTTTTTGGTGGGCTCTATTGAAATGAGATTGAGCCCAAAATGAGCTAAGCCACAAGTGTAAAACAAGTGAACTTCTTCTAAGTTCTAAAGTTATGTAATTTCACTTTTCCCGATTCTTGTACTTGAGTTAAACAGTGTAGTGGTTGAATTAATTGTGGATCAAGACCCTAGTAATCAGGGAATGGATCTTAGTAATCCATAGCATGAAGAAGCAGAAAGGTAAAACTGGCTTTTTTTTGTTGAAATTAGATCTAAGTAAAGACTACGATAGCCTTAAATGGGATTTTGTGCTCAAAGTTTTGCATGCCTTGGGATTCTCGAATCAGTTTTACAATTTGATTTATAATTGCATTGCCACCACTAGTATTGTTGTTATGTCTTGTGGATGCGTTGGGAATTTCTTCAAGCCTTCTAAGGGGGCTCAAACAGAGAACAGAGAAGTCCATGGTGTCAAATTTGGCAAGATAGGACTGAAAATAAATCACTTGCTCTTTGTTGACAACGTTGGAAAATGTTCCATGGCTGAAGTTCAGCGCTTAGAAGATCAATTGCAGTCCTTTTGCAAGTTGTCAAGGTAGGAAATTAACTCCAAAAATCAGCTATTTGCTTTGCTCCTAACACTCAAAGGACCCATGAACAAATTCAATCTATATTGGGAGTTGCTATCCAGGCTCCGTTTGCTTTTTGGTAAGTTATTTACCCAGGTAAATGCAATTACTTGGGTAAGTTTTTCCTGGGAAACACTTACCCGGGTAAGTGCATTTACCCATGCTCTTTTATTTTTCATGTAAATAAGGCAATGACCATTTTAGCCATAAAAATCCATTATTAAAAGGGGCATTTTTGTCTCATTCAAGTGTTGGCAACTTTCCCCCTAGGTGGGAAAGTTATTTACCCACCAAGAAAATAAACTTTACCTGGTCCCCACATAAATCTGAAAAAAGAACATGGGATTCTTGGTCAATGGGAACCAAAATCCCATTGACCAACTTTCCCCCTCTCAAAATCCAAAAAAAGAATGCCCCCTCAAGGAAAACACAACGTTTACTTGGGAGGCCTCATGTTCTATACTAAGTCCTCTACAATTGACGGGAAATTTCTCGTGGACAAGATCAAAACCAAGCTGAAAGGGTAGCAGTCTAACACACTATTGCAAACTACCCATACAGTGCTTATCAAATCATCACTTAAAGTTGTGTCGATGTATCATTTGTAGATGTGCCTGGTGCCAAAGCAGGTAGCTAGTGATATAAATTCTCTAAGGCCTCGGTCACTTTTCGGTAAGTTATTTACCCAGGTAAGTGCATTTACCCATGTTCTTTTATTTCCCAGGTAAATAATGCAATGACCATTTAACCATAAAAATCCATTATTAAAAGGGGCATTTTTGTCCCGTTCAAGTGTTGGCAATTTTCCCTCTAGGTGAAAAAAGTTATTTACCCACATAGGGAATGAGTATCATACCCGGATAAGTGATACCTAAGAAAATAAACTTTCCTTAGTCCCCACATAAATATGAAAAGAGAATATGAGATTCTTAGTCAATGGGAACCAAAATCCCATTGACCAACTTCCCCCTCTCAAAATCTTAAAAAAGAACGCCCCCTAAGTCGTGACTTTTGGTGGGGAAAGCTGGAAAGAGAGAAGGGGTGATATCTTAAATCATGGTTGAGCACTTGAGCATGCTCAAATCTAAGGATAATGGAGGATTAGGTTTGGTTGATTTGACTAAGAGAAATAGATCTCTTACTTATGAAATTGTGTTGGCGCTTCTATAAACACCCAAATTCTTTGTGGGTGAAGATACTCCATGCAAAATATCTAAAAAATTGGATATTTTTAGAATGCTACGCATAAAGGAATTGGGTTAAATCACCTGTTGGGACAATTTAAATGAATTGGGTTGGGCTTGATTATGGGCACCCATCAGATTACTACTAATGATAAGGGTTGTCTTACTGCTAATGATTAGGGCTGTCAATAAACTCCAAAAGTCCAATATCCGATTCACAATCCAGTTATCCTAGACTTGAATGTTAAAATTACATTTCATTAATAATCATATTAGATGTGGATTTAAACCCATCTAATTCGATTAAAACCTAAGTTTCACACACATACATATCCCTCCTTATACCCAACATTCGTGGGAGCCTCATCCACTAGGCTGCCCCCCCCCCCCCCTTTTATAGATATTATCAAGGTTTAAAGTATTAGAAACAGAAGGTGTATCGGAAAGATAATTTTAGGAGATGTATCGAGATATGCTTTGGAAACGCATAGATACAAGCAAAAAATCAAGATACACATGGATACACTAGAAAATCCAAAAAAAAAAATCTTTAAAAAATATGAACAATAATAAAAATGAGTTTTATGTGATTATAACTAATTTATTTAAACATAAAAACCATTATTCAATGATTTAAAGTATCATGACATAATTAGTAACCATTGAAAAATAATAGAAGAACTAAAATGTATGTGTATATATATACTAATATTTATTAGTTAATATTTTTTTGAAGTCATGTATTAGTTAATATGTATTATATATAGATTTAGATAATATTTATTATGTATACAAGTTAATATACACCTTAATTTTTAATAAATAAATATAATTTGTATTCACCTTATTAATATATAAATATTAATAATCAAATTTTAGCATTTGTTGGAAAACATCCACCAAGGCAATAAATATTACTTTAAGTATAAAAAAACATGTTGTTTTAATAAGCAATTAAGGTTGGCATAATTGTTAATTAATTGTTGTAAGTAAATGGCTTGGCTTCAAAACTTGTTACCTTCGATTTGCAATTTTAAAAAAGCTATTTGACTCAAATAACATTTAATGACATAAAGGTAACTCAAATATAAATAATATTAGCATTTAGTGATTGTCTCAAACTTTAAGGCTTAATTAAAACTTATATTAATGAGAGAGAGAGAGAAGAGATAAATTAAATTTAAATTTAAAAAAGTGAGGGAAATTAAATTCGACTGATACATAATTTGTATCAACCCATTTTGGGAGGTCGATACAGACGAAAAAATACAAAACCATCTAATTATACATGTTCTGTGTATCGAAACTCTTTCAAAATGATAGCATCGACCAATACGGGCTGATACGTTGCAAAATTTAAAACCTTGGATATTATTATACAATTATATATAGTAGGGGTCATGGTTTTGAAAACCAAACTGGACCAAACGACTAGACCAATTGGTCTGGGAACCAATAGTCAAAGTGGTTCCATTTCCAATCCGATTTTCAAAACCATAGTAGAGGTACAAGTCGGGCCGAGTTAGGTTGGGTTGATGTCAACCCTAGCCAACCCTAAACTATAAACCCCCAACCCAACCTTCAAGCCAACATAGTGGACCCTAACCCTAACCCTACCTAAAATCCCTCAACCCTGACCCAACCCAATGAACTAGTGTAAGAACACATTATATGTACATGTGCACAAGTACTAACCATATATAATATATGGTATTTGAATTAGATATAAATAAATATGAAAATATTTTACAGAAACTTAATTGGTTATCAAACTAATTGCGAGAGAATTTGTGAATTCCTGGAAAGCATTGTGTTTTCAAACGTTTTCAATTGTCAGAACCAGATTGGGTCACCCAGTCTAATCTTCATATGAAGTTATTACAAGAATGGGCTGGGCAGGTTAGATTGGTCAAGGTGAGTATGGATCGAATCCAACCTATTCAATTTTATTTATATGGGTCATTTACGACCTGGCAGATCAGATGGGTTGAAGATCAACCCAAACCCAACCCACCAAACTTCCACCCCTAGCTCTATTTGTTGTTCAGCACATCCGAACTCGATTAAACAGCCCCTGAGGAACTAATAGCAGCCCTTCAACTGAAATGTGCTACTTTTACCTTAATCTTTGCAAGACACACGAATAGAGCTCCACCTTGAGACGGATCCCAAATAAATTGCTATTTTTCACGCACAATAGGACATGAGCTTGACCAGTGAAAAATCTTTCATATGACACGAGGCAAAAGCAAGAATGGGTTCGCTTAACCTGTTGTTGGCAGGTGGAAACCGTGGGATGCAAGGAAAATCAATTAACCAGATTAAAGCAACAAAGTCAACAATAGACCATTATCTGGACTGGCTCCTTTTACGGCTCACCATTATTAAGTAGGTCAATCCATGACTAATAACTTTGCCTATACCAAGCTAACCCATAAATCTAGATGCCATAAAATCCAATTTTTACATCAGAACAAAACAAATTAGCTATAGAATCGTTCCACACAGAAAGTTAAAAAGAAAAGACAACAAAACCTGATTCAACCTCAAAAATAATGTTAGAACTGTTACACGCTTAAAACTATATGATGAGATTTTTACACAGGCAGGTAATATTATAAATAAATGATGGTGGATCTTACTTTAATCCAGATAATAAAAAAATAACTTACCTGAACTTCAGAACTGAATAAATAATGGCCAACTGTGAACCTAATAAAATTCTTGCTCAACCCTACCTGCTTCTCAGAATCTCTTTATTAGAAGATCCAAACCTACAAAATTGTTGATGGCTAGGACTCAATGCTATGACGTTTTTCCTTCTTGGGATCCGGAAGGGTAGGTAGTTGAAGACGTAGTTAAGCACCATAGTTCATTTTTCCGTACCCTGATCACCACCAAAAGCTAACTCAAAAATCTGACTGTAGTCATCTACAAAGTGAACTTCAATGCCCTCTTTTACATTGGATGCAAGCTCATCAAAGTCCCTTCTGTTAGCTGAAGGGAATATGACAGTCTTCACGCCACTCCTCCTAGCAGCAATTGTCTTCTCTTTGACCTGTTTGCCAAATCAGAGATATCTTTTCTTTGTCATAATCTTACCAGAAAGGACATGGTGACAACATTAAGGTGGAAATTTGGGGTATATAGCTACCAGAGAGGAAAAAAAACTTCAAATGCATAATAACAGCTTGTCTATCTTTGGATTCCATGACTGGTCAAGCCTTGTTACTCAGTATTGAAAGTAGTGAAACCATTTAAATTAAATACCAATATCTGGGGTTTTACATGGCCTAAGTTGAGAACCACGAAAGGAAAAAAAAATAATGGTTAACTATTGCCCAAGGACAAAGAAAGGACTACTCACAGAAATAGTGCTCGAGTCTGTCTTCTATAAGGATGACAAATAACATGATAAAGAATTTGGTTTGCTATCTACTCAAGATGGACGCAACCCACATTGAAAATTGTAGCTAAGTAAAATATGGTCTAAGATATTTCAGAAGTACTATAGTAGAGGTTCTGATGAAACAAAACAAAACAAAAAAAAGAAGGGTCCCCATGATCGTGATTGGGCAATAAAACTTGTGGGGTTTGGTCCACTTGCAGGATTTGTGGGAAATTTTCAAGATAACCACTGATAATGAACTTTTTTAGGGGGTGGGGATGGGTGGGTTCAAGTTCTTTCCATAGAATCTCAACTTTCCCTTTGCAAAGAATGTCAAAGAAAGTAAAATATATGTGCATATTTTTTTCAAAAAAAATATCTTCAGAAATTATAAAATTCAAAATCCCATGGAAAACCATTAGAACGACCTTTCTCACATATAATCAGAGAAGAAAGAACTAGATTCTGGCATTCAACAAATTTTTTTGAAACTATTTTCTCATCTTACTAATAGAAAAGCTATTTCCCCATCTTATAAAACCCCTGAAACTGCAAGATTTAAAAAAGCAATTGAAGCAGTTGGGACTTGGGACAGAGGTCAGATTTCAGTTTAGCTTAGTTTTACTTACACCACCAATTGGAAGGACCCTCCCTGTCAGTGTTACTTCCCCAGTCATTGCTAGGTCCTTCTTTACAGGCTTCTTCATTGCTAAGGACAGCATTGATGTGATCATGGTGCAACCAGCACTTGGGCCATCCTTTGGGGTAGCTCCAGCAGGCACATGGAGATGGAGCTTTGTATTAGCAAAGAAGTGGTTATTTGGATCTTTCTCAAGTAATATTGCTCTGGAAACTGTGTGTGCTATCTGGGCACTCTCCTTCATGACATCTCCAAGTTGTCCAGTGAGGTGGAGTGCTCCTTTCCCTTCTCCTTGTTCAACCTGGGTGGTTTCTACATACAAGGTTGAACCACCCATTGCAGTCCATGCAAGGCCCATCACAACTCCAACTGGCGTCTGATCATAGATGCGTTCAGCATGAAAAACAGGTTTTCCAACAAAATCAGACAAGTTCGACACATCGACCAGCACTTTCTCAATGGTCTTACTTGCTTCAGTTTCCTGGAGCTGATCTGTTTCTACATGTTCCTGCAAATGAGACAAAAACAAAAGTATGAATACATGAAATTGTATACGATGGTAGGAAAAAAATTGCATTGACCAATGGTTCCCATAAATTGACAAGCATCTGCTTCTAGGGACCAGAAAAGTACTGTCAGTTTTGGAAAATATAGGTAAAAGACTCCTTTTAATAATGTGACTTTTTTAAAGAAGAAAAACATGGGATTGGGGGAGTTTTCAAAAATGCCAAGGGCCAGATTGTAGCTTTATTTTCTGGTCCTGTTGGGGTGGAGATTCAGTTAATGCAGAAGTCCAAGCTGTACTACAAGGAGCAGAGGTTGTGAAAGAATTGGCAGTGGAACACTTAATTATTGAAGGCGACTCTAAACTGGTATTAGATGGCCAAAAGAGACGGAGATTGCAGCTGGTCCTAAAGGGGGGTGTTGAGAAGATTAAGTGGTTAACATCAAATATTTCAGTCACAGTTCAATGGGAAAGAAGATCGGTAAATGGGTTGGCAGATTTTCCAGCCAAACAAGCGGTACATAGGAATCAACTATTTTGGGCTCACTTGTAAGCTATATGATATAGTTTAGAGGCTGCACCTCGCGCCTCTTTGTGGGGAGTTTGTCATATGTATCCTGTGTTTTTTAATTAATAAAATTGCAACTATCTGTCAAAAAATAGAAGAAAAACATTGGATGATGTAGGTTCAATGTTATGCCAAACCTGAGAATTATTGCACTAGAAAAAATAAAGAGAATGAAGAAAATGGTCATGCAAAATCAACTTCTATGCTTTGCCATCTTTAGATGTTCCATCATGCACAAAGTTGTATGCCCCGAGATGATTTTATTTACAAAAACCACAACTTGATGCAAGTCAGTTCAACATATAGGCATTTCTACAACATTTTTTTGTCAATCCCATTATAATACATATTGTGTTCTGCAATACCTTTGAATCAACCAATAAAATATCTTCTTGTGGGATTTCAACCACTGGGAGATCCATCTGCATTTGATCAGATTCAATAGCACTAGCCTGCTCTTGATCCCCACCTTCCTCTGGTTCAGCAACAATCTCAATCTTCCTTGCCAAAGTCCCATTGCATTCTTCAGCAGACTTTTCTTTGTTTTCTTCTGGTTCAAGTTTGACTCCAATGGCTGGAGATGATTCATTTGTTACTTCTTTCCGCACAAGTTGTAGAGCAATCTGTCAGGCATTTAAAGCATGAAAATAGAATCATTCATGTTGGAGAACACCCCCCACCCTAAATTATCCTCTTCACATTACTGTAGTCACTCCAAGTTTGCAATAAAGAAATTAATATTTGAGCTAACCTTCCTGTATATCTTCTCAATGTGTTTCTGCAAATTCCTAACTCCTGCTTCTCGGCAATAATTTTCTACCAGAGCAAGAAGAGCTGCATCAGTCACTTCAACCTGGTGACAAATTATTACTTGAAATTCAGATCTTGTTTTGAAAAAGTATAAACATTAGTGGAAGAACATTACAACTTTTTTGGATTTACAAGTTGCAAGTTGAGCAGCACAAGTCTAAGCTTACCCAGGTATAAATTTGAGGACAAAATTGAAAAATTCAAAGCCAAGAACTTAATAAGATGGATATAATTTACTAAAGTGGAATAAGGCATTGCATGTTGATTTTTCAGACAGTTCTATGTTTTATAAAGAAATGAGTATTTTTCCTATACTAAATTATACCCACAAAGCTATATGATTTTGGCTAAATCCAGTCAAGTTGAGCTGGTGAGGAAGATGTGTTCACATTTTACTTCATTGCAGCCTTTCATATCCAGTTTGGTCCTATTTCTTCAAGTTATTCAAGGTGGACAGGAGCTCTTTGGCAGATCCGGCTGAAATTTTTAGTTGTTGGCCAAGAATCCAAGGTTGTGTAAAAGTTAAGATCTTATGGACCTGTATTCCCTTTGCTAGTTTGCTGTATGCTGGGAAATATGGAAAGAAAGAAATAGAAGAATCTTCTAGGAGAAAAAGAAAAGCATGCAAGAGATGGTAGCTGTTATTAGTTCAACAGCTATTGGTTGGGCGCTAGTGCTTCCAGAGTTTCAAGGACTGTGGAAAAAAGACTTTGGAGCTGATTTTTGGACTTCTCTGAATTCATTAAGGAATGCTGATTTCTGTTTTGATTCCTGGAAATGTTGTTTTTGCTTTTTTGTGGTCTTGCATTACCTTAATCTGGTGGGGTGACATCTTGTCACCTAGTTATGTTGTACTGCTTTTTCTTTTAGCAATAAAATTTCTTTCTTTATTTATCTTCAAAAAAAATCCAGTAAAGTTGAGGAACATTCAATCAAAAACATACTAATTCAACAAGAAATTCAAGTCATCCAGTTGAATCTGCAACTCTATAGGATGGAACACTCTACATTGTTCCCATGCAGTCATAGGTTTAATCCATGATTAAAAGACAAAGAAAAGAAACTGAAAGAAAAACACCATTTGTTTTGTAGTAACAGAGTAAAATTTAGTGAGTGTAACCATGTTTCAGTTTTTGTCCATTTCTCATTCATCTCTGTTAGCAGACTGTAGAGAGACTCAGCCAGATGGGCCCTAGTATCTGTTTTTATGTTTAAGTAGTATGTTATTTATTTTGTATGTTAATGGGCCTATCTTTATGGACCTGTTAACCTCTTTTGTAAGTTCTTTTAAGTTCTTGCTTAGCTGGCCACCCACTTAAGGGCAGACTTGTAATTAAGCTATTTAATGAAGATTAATAAAAGAATTAGCGAGGGGAGAGAGGAGATTATCAAACTTGCTTCTTCTTCCTCTTCTTCTTCTATTCTGCTGTATTCCTCTTTCTCTCTCATTCTTTTCTACTTTAATCAAATATCAGATTTAGAGAACAGATTTTCTTCTTGGTATCAAAGCAAGTTTTCCCTTTCTTGTTTTTCCCTTTTCTCTTTTCCCATACACCCTTCAATTAGGAGAGTGTATGGAGAGATAAGTTCCTAATAAATCAGAGGACCATTTGCCTAGTTGGTAGAGGGTTTGGAGAGTTGGAATCTGGTCGAAAGTTGCCAAGAAATGAAGTTGTATTTTTTCTACCCAAAACCCTAGCTGACTAGACAGCTTTCAAGTTATAGGCCAAGGAGAAGATTTGGGTGTGGCACTCAAGGCTTGGGAGGTGTATTTTGATCCCTAGAAGTGTGCAGTTGAGACTTGAAGGAGGTTAGGAAGCTCTGGTAGGAGTGGCTATCTCTTCTCTCTTCCTCCCCGACAACCAAGTGCAGTGAAACCCTAGTTTTCAAGTCTCCGACTATTGTACTGACCTCAGTTAGGTTTACAAAGACTAAAAAACTAGATTTTCTATTTTCATTTGATCAATGGAGCAATCTGGAAGTGAATTGAAGTAGATGCCAGTACCCGGGGTTGGTCCGGTAGATTCCCTTTTGATTGGAGTGACCACAATTAAGCTATATGGAACCAATTATCTAGCTTGGGCACAACCTATATGGATTTATGTCTGCACTAGAGGTAAACTGGGGTATCTCATAGGCAGTAAGGTGAAACCCGCAGAAACAGACCTTTCATATGAGAAATGGATGCAAGAGAACTACACAATGATCAGATGGTTGGTCAGCTCTATGCAGCCCCATATACAAGAGAACTACACAATGATCGGATGGTTGGTCAGCTCTATGCAGCCCCATATAAGTACTACCTCTGGATGTTTTCAACCAAGGAGATTTGGGACAATGTTACAGAAACATATTCATAGAAGTTAAATGTTGCTAGAGCCTATAAGTTAAAGAGTGATGTGAACAGTTTGAGACAGGGGGAGAAAAGTGTAGCGATTTACTACACCATGTTTAAGTCACTATGGCAAGAAATTGATGTTATGGAGACAGTGGTATGGGAGAGTACTAAGGATGCAGAGACTTTTAGGAAACTAGTGGAACGAAACAGAGTCTTTGAGTTTCTTACAAGACTCAACCTTGAGTTCGACATTACTAGGCAGAATATTCTAGCCAAGGATGAGGTCACTCTTGCTCAGGCGTATGCTATGGAAAGCGGTGAGGAGAGCAGGCAACAGGTATAGTTACTGGGTCCACCTACAGAACACTTTGCACATGCTGGAATAAAGTCAAAGGGTCCGACTGAGAAGAAAGAAGTGATATGTGAATACTATAAGAAACCAATCCATACTAAGGACACCTGTTGGAAACTTCATCCAAATCTTCTCCTTGACAGGTTTCAAGATAACAACAATAACAACAATTTCAAGAAGAATGGTCAGAATGGAAAGCCTAAGAATGCTAATATTGCCATAGTGCCTGAAGGAGAGAATAAGGAAAGTGAAGAAAAATCATCTACAAAGCAGCTGGCAGCAGTAAAGGCAGAGTTTGAAAAGTATGGGAGGTTACTGAATCACTTGGAAACCACTATCTCAGCATCCAACCCTTCTAGCAACACCTCATCATCCGCATTTGCCCACTCAGGTACTTGTACTTCTGCAAATGCTACTTTTCAGGCAATCAAAAAATCCCTTGGATTATTGATTCTAGTACATCAGACCATATGACCAGTTTATCTAACCTCTTTTGTTCATATTAGCTCCTCTCTGGTAGAGAGAAGATATCCCTTGCTAATGGGTCTCTTACTCCCATCTCTAGCAAAGGGGATATCAAGGCCTCTAACGCCCTTGTCTTATCCTCTGTTCTTCATGTCCCCAAGCTTAATACCAACCTTTTATCTGTTAGTAGCTTGACTAAATCCATGAATTGTAGCATAATCCTACCCATTGTGTTTTTCAGGACCTAAAATCTCAAAGGACAATTAGGAGTGGCCATGAGGCAAATGGAATATATTTGCTAGAATCCGTAGTACCCGGACATCATGGGATCCTACGTTCTCCCTCTCCTTCTTCTATCATTCAATCCTATGAATCCGCAAGTCGTGTTTCTCAGGTCGCTTCAGAAGATCATTTGCTATCACCTAGAGAGTAGAAGGTTGGAGGTGGTTCATGATTTTTCAGGCCAAGGTGATCCACTAGATCACATCTTGTGAACTCTTTTCCCTT